ACAAACAAAATGTAACAAAAAAAAAATTTTTTTGTAAATTTTGATTTTTGTAAATTATAAGAAACATAAAATTTTTATACTTATACGAGTTTCGCTTGGAGCTACTGCAAGTATACGCTTTCCTATAGTGCACAAATAACGATACCCACCGATATTCAGTACTTTGATAATCCTAGTCACATTTACCCACGAAACTGTTTCAAATTTGGTATTAAAGAAGATTTGGTAGATGACAATCCTTCGAGTATAAAATTGTCAGTGGAGGTCCCAGTTTTGGTATGGCCCCCATATAACGGGCTTACCCACCTTATGTTTTTATTTTAAGTTTAACAGCATTGTCAAAACGGTGTTATTGGTATTTGTATTTTAAAGTGGAAGACGTTTGAATTCAGGTACTTTTTTATGAAAATGTTTTATTTACCCAATGGTTGAGGGTATTAAAATTTCGGCCCAGCCGAACTTAATGTTTTTTTTTTTACTTGTTGAAATCAAAATATTTGTTTTTGAACATTAATTGTTTTGTTTTGGACATATAACTATGACATTTGTATTATGTGCAAAAAAAATTTATGTGCTTGTTGTGTTGTTGTTACAACAACACTTGCTCATACCTGTAATATTCTACCATAAGATAAAATTGCATGGGATAGATTAAATTTTGTGGAATAAATATACTATTGAACAAATATACAAACATACAATTTTTTTATATTATTTGTTTCTATTTTTAACAAAAAAAAAGGAAATTGCTTAATTGCTACAAAATGTGACTAAGATCATCAGAATAGCGAATGTGTGGAGTACCATTTTATAGAGGCTATAAGAAAACGTATATCTAGAATATTCTGCCACAGAAGGTAGAACCCATGGCACAATAATTTTCAAGGTAGGGCATAGCACCTGAATACAATTTTCTCTTTTGGAAGTCTTGTAATGTCAAAGCACATACACAATTTTGGTATGTGTATGGTTTGTTTTGAATAATATACAAAATAATTTTCAATTTTCTGTTGAAATTTTAATTTATATTTAGAGAGTATGAATGTTTTGGTTATGGGATAATTGTGAATTGTGATCGTATTAGTAACTCGATATTTTGAAATATCCGCGTCGTCCATTCATTTTTCACAATTTTCTCTCAAATTAAAACATTTATGTTTAAAATGTTACCCTCTTTTACCAATTCGTCCAAATTATTACAGACAGACCTACATTGTTAAAACGGCTTTGCGTTGTAGGATCTAATGTGATAATTTAGAGTTTCAGGAGTAGATAATAAAAAAAGATCGATGTTGGTCCACCTTTTCCTAAAGGTTACCATGTAAAGATAGAGTCAAAACTTCCAAAAGCAGACACTTTCTTAAGCGGGCAATTTTCAAATGTAGCTTCCACCAAATTTCCCTCCCAAGAATGGACCCGCCAATGAACGGACGTGGACAGTAATACTGTGCATTATTTGCTTAAATAAAACAAAAATTTAACAATGCATTTTTTTATAATTAATCAGGGACGCTATAAAAAGCCTACGTGCAACCATGGTACAATGAATTCAAGGTAGGGCAGAACTACCATATGATTTAATTTTTTTTATTTTTCTGGCTTAATATGTCAACTTCATTTGCTTATGTGTGTGTCTTCTTTTCAATAATAAAAAATTGTTCAGAAAATATTCAAATTCGGGTGTTTTCAAAATGCTTATTGCAACGAATGCATCGACAAAATCTACAGTTTTTGTCGCGAAATAAACCATAAGAGATATATAGAACATGATATTGAAAATAAATTTTGACCATTCATTCAGTTTTCGCGGTTTTAAATTATTTATTCAAAATCAATGCAACAAGTTGTTTGCTTTTTTATTGTTTTGATAGTAATTCTGACATTACAAGCCAAACAGGTAGAACTCTATACTTGCAATTTTTTCAAAGTTGACCTACCTTCTCTTCATTGTACCATGCGTGCAACCATGGTACAATAAGGAGGTACAACAGCTTCCTAAAACCTAGAAATACAGCCCGCTTCCTGTCAGACTCATTCAAAGTTACATACAAGTTTTTTTTCATATTTTTCCTCACTTTTAAAATTGGTTAAATAGCGCGAAAAATGAATAAAATGCCTGAATTTTCTCTCAATAATATGATCCAAACTGTTCAAGCTTTCAATTTCATGGCTAAACTGGTTAATAGATTTAATGCGCGAGCCGCAATATACGTGTCTTTCAATCATTGGTTTTGAAAATATTTATTTTTTTCATTTTTCAAAACAATAAATACATACACAAAATTGGAAAAAGTCGGGCACACTTAGAAAAAAATTGAAATCAGCTGGTAACTGTAACTTACCTTTTTATTGTACCATGCGTGCAACTACATTCTTACTCAGCTGATTATATTGCGGAGAAAAGCAAAAAATATTGTTTTGATAAATTTTATTACAATGTCACAGAAATATTTCCGGAGGAAATCGAAATATTGGATGAATAAAAAAGGAAAAATTCAAAAATAAAAACATAGTTTTTTAATGAACTTAAGCCAAGCAATTAACCCAATAAGTAAAATAAATATAACAGGTACAACAACAGAAAAATTTTATGCTTAAAGAAAATATTGAGGTTATAGAAACCTCATAAAACTATAAATTAGCAATAGCAACAAAGTATGTGTATAATAATTAATATAATAAAATGAAATTGCGATTTTTAAATTTTTTTCTAGGTTCAACATCGGAGAAACACAAGCCGCAAAACAAACAAAATTTGGTTTCGCAATGTCAGTCTGATAGCAATTCGAGCCAAAAAATATTTAGACTCAATTCGAGTAACCTACCTACCAGTCATTTGGAAATCAAAAAGAAATGCCCGGCTGAATAGAGAGATTATAAATATGACATGGGGAATGAAAACAAAAAATAACCCTTTTTGGATAATGCAGCTGCTAATCCCCGATATGTAGAACTCGAAAACATTGAAATTATATGTATCTCAATGCAACGTCAATTTTCCAGCCCATTTACAAAGGCATAATTTGCAATAGAATTTTTATAACAAAGGATATGATTACAGCTTTCGACGAAAATACATATATGACAAAAAAATCAATGCCATGTTACCATTGACGAAAATATTATGACAGATGATTATAACATTGTCATTGAATTTGAGAATGGTGAATGATCTAAATGAAGCTAGAAGAACCTTCATATGAACAAAATTGGATTGCAGTTCCAAATCAAGTTATAAATTGTACCAATGTCTTGAAGAGCGTCTTAACAACTTTTTCCGTAAATTTTTAATAAGCAATATATTATCATTTTTATACCCTCCACCATACATAGTATGGAGGGTATATTAAGTTCGTCGCCGTTTGTAACTCATTGAAATAATCGTTTTAGACCCAACAAAGTATATATATTCTTGATCAGCGTAAAATTCTAAGACGATTTAGCCCTGTCCGTCCGTCAGTCCGTCTGTTGTAATCACGCTACAGTCTAAACGAATTAAGATAGGAAGCTAAAATTTTGCACAGATCTCTCTTTTGTCTGCAGGCAGGTCAAGTTCGAAGATGGGCTATATCGGTCCACGATATCGTATAGCCCCCATATAACGGTACCCTCCGATATTCGGTATTTTGAAGATGTTAGCCACATTTTTCAATGGAATTGTCTGAAAATTCACACAAGTAGTTCCTTGTGAATACTTTACCCCCTGAGAGAGAATTGTCTATATAGTTCCACGATATCGTATATCCCCCATATAACGGTATCTCCGATATTCGGTATTTTAATAACTTTACCCACATTTTTCAACGGAATTGTCTGAAAATCCATACAAGGAGTTCCTATTGGGTACTTTATACCTCGGAAGAGAATTATCTATATCGGTCCACGATATCGTATATCCCCCATATAACGGTACCCCCGATATTCGGTATTTTGATGATTTTACCCACATTTTTCAACGGAATTATCTGAAAATCCACAGACATTTTTCACACGGAATTGTCTGAAAATCCACACAAGGAGTTCCTTGTGGGTACTTTATACCTCGGCAGAGAATTATCTATATAAATCTACGATATCGTATAGCCCCCATATAACGGTACCCTCGATATTCGGTATTTTGATGATTTTACCACATTTTTCAACGGAAATTGTACACAAGAGTGTTTTTTGTGAGCACTTTACCCCCCGACAGAAAATTCTTTATATAGGTTAATGATATCGTATAGCACCCATATAACGGTACCTCTGATATTCGGTATTTTCATGATTTTGGCCACATTTTCAAATCGTATTGTCTGAAAATCCACACAAGGGGTTCTTTGTGAGCACTTTACCCCCTGAAAGGGAATTGTGTATACAGGTCCGTAATGTCGTATATCCCCGATATAACGATGCCCCCCGATATTCAGTAGATTGATGAATTTAGCCACTTTTTCCAATGGAATTATCTGAAAATCCACACAAGGAGTTCCTTGTGAGTACTTTACACCCAGACATAGATTTGTCTTAATAGGTCCACAATATCATATATACCCCCATATATCGGCACCTTCCTACATTAGATACTGTAAAGATTTAAAGTAAAATTTAATAGATTTTATTTTTTTTTGAAATTTTTCTAATTCGTTCCAAATGGTGGAGAGTATTCAAAGTTCGGCCCGGCTGAACTTACTGCTTTTTTACTAGTTTCTCTTTAAATCTTTATTTTGTTAATTAAATCTAAATTCAATTTTTTGCAGCGTTCGAAAATAAACAGTACACTAACATAGTGTACTGTACCGGTACAGTATCACTAAAAATTTTTTTAGCGGTAGTGTGCCGGTACACTACCACTAAAAAATATTTTAGTGATACTGTACCCGAACACAACGATAATCGTACTGTACCGCAGTCGGAGCACTAAAAAATCGTAGTGTACCGCAGTCGGAGCACTAAAAAATCGTAGTGTTCCGGAGTCGGAGCACTAAAAAACGTAGTGTTCCGCAATCCGAGCACTAAAAAATCGTAGTGTACCACATTAAAAAAATTTACTGGCATCAATACGCTTTTTTGGGAAAATAATATTAAAGGTTTGATTTTTTTGTATGTAGCATTGCAAATGAATAAAATGATTATAATAAAAGAAATTAAAGATTATCCAACTTTGCAAAATTACACAAAATTCGATATTAGTATTACACTTTGTATAAGTGGAAATTAAAGAACAAATAAAACAACCGGTCATATGTCAATGAAACATACTTAATACTGATTTATTTATAAGTATTTAATTGTTATTACTTAAATGTATTTTTTAATAAAAATTGAATTAATTAAACAAGTTAAATATAACAAACATAATATAAATAGAAAGTAAAAAAGGAAATGTAATAAACTAAAAATATAAGTACACCAGTAAGAACTTTAATCTGATCCCAATTGGTAATTAAAAATCCCATTGGCTTTTACCATTAATATATGCTCTAAATTTAACGGTGACAATCGATTGCGCTGATCGGATAACATATATTTCATAGCTGAAAATAAGCGTTCCACGCTTACTTGTGTTGATGGTATTGCCAGTAAAATATTCGCAATGCCACTAATAATGTTTGAAGAATCCCAATATTGTAAAACATTTGCATTTAGTGGCAATCTAGATTTTCTTTCATAAGTGGATAGATCGGATTCAAAATTATCAATGTTTGAAGAACTCTGTGTAGGCGTGGTAGGATCTAAAGTGTGCAGGTAATCGGAAAAGGATTTCGGTGTGCATGCATTACTTGTTGATGGAGTTTCATCCAGTATTGTGCAGGCCGTATTGTCTGTTGTAGAATCTGAAGAAATAAGGGTAATAGTTAAAAACATATGTATGTATTTTTGGTATTAATATAGCAAACATACCTTCTTTTGAGTATATTCGCTTATATAACGACACTATGTACATCTGCGCTCTAGTTTTCTGTTCGCTTGTCATACAGACTTTAATACGTGGATCCAAATACACGGCTGCGTTGAAAAGTTCGTTATCAAAAAGTTTATCCATTCTTGTCTTCAATGATTCTTTCAGTATCACTTTCATTTCGGTGTTTGGTAAAGCATCTATTTGGAATGTAATATCCATTATTACAATATATAGTTCGCTATAACAAAGCTGTTCAGTAGTTTCATTGTAGCTGTGTAAATAGGTTTAAATATTCCAACAAATTCACTTGCGAAAGACCAGTCAGCAGAACTAATGAATAATTTCGAATTATCCTTGCTTAATGTAGTTACAACTTCTCTTATTTCCAGCAGTCTTTCAATCATATTGTATGTTGAATTCCATCTTGTTATACAGTCAATTATAGGTTTCTTGTGGAGCCCATTTTTAAAAATACTCACATACGTTTTACTTCGAAGTTTTTTCACTACGAGTCTTAGGTTTTCAGTTTTTTTTTATTGTAGGCTGTTTTAGAACATCATTTACACACAGCTGCAGCGTATGGGCACCACAACGAATGTTAGTAATATGGTGTGAGGATATATTAAAGTCGATTGACTCAATTTCATAAATCGATATTTCACAATCAACTTCTTCTTCGCTATCCTGAGATTCCTCTTCCATAAGCATTTGTAACTCCGAATTCAGCACTTTTACCGTTTTTACCATGTTAGATCCATTGTCGGTTGTAATGGTAAAAATGTTGCGTACATCAACACCATATTCTTTTAGAACTTCCAATATAATAGATTTTATATATTCACCGGTATGACTAGATTTCAGCTCTTTTACTGCCAATGTTTTAACAATGATTTTACCATTTTTGATGTATTGAACATTTATACCGAGCATGCTCAAATCCCACCTGGTTGCTACATCAATCTTAAGAGAAAACAATGTCCCTTTTAAATCATTAGATATTTCCGTTTTAATATTTGTGGAATATGCGATAATTCGTTCCATTATATTATGCTCATTGACTGTTATTCTGAGCAAACTTAAAACTGGTTCCATAAGAATTTTGAAGGCCCTATCTTCGGCCATGTGCAGAGGACGTCCATTTTTGGTGAATAGTTCCACTATTGCTAGTTCGATGTTCCTCGGATTTACATTTCTTCGCAGTAATACTTCGTTAACACAATTTTTGTAATTTCATTGCACGTTTTTGTTCAATATAGTTTGCATATTGCTCAGGATGTGATCTCTTTAAGTGTCTTTCTATATTTCCGGAATGTACACTTAAAATCTTGTTCTTACAACTTTGCAAATTACACACAACTTCGTTTGATTCATTTGTATTGAACATATCTAAAAGAATAATATTTTTAGGTCGCGGCATTTTTGTAATTATTTGCTGAACGTTTGAGAAGAACTAAACAGCAGGATATCGGCTTTTTTGTATATATTGTAACAAATATTGTTCTTAATAATAAAAGACTACCTGTACTCCGATACGAAATTGTGGCAAACTATATTCTGGATATCAGCACATATTTTGATGTGGTACCTGTACAATGTTTTACAATTTAAGGCTAAATCATAAAACTGATTTTAAACCCTCAGCCATACTTTAAAAAATATTTAATTTTTTGCACCTACATTCACTGATTTTTCGGTACCACAAAGTAACAGGTACATAATCTGCATAAAAACCATTTATTGATTTCATTTAGCGGCCCACCTAAGATAATAAAACAAACTTGACCTTTTACCAAAATATACAATTTTATGGCACTAACTTTTATTACCCATATTCTTGCATTCATTCGTAGAATTTTTGTTTTTAAATGAATGAACCTTTTTACTGGTTCATATATAACGCAACAGGCCGAATTTCAGGCGTATCCATAAAGACTTGTGGCAACCACTAAAATACCCTTTTCCACGGAGAATTTAAATTTTCAATTTAATTTTCCTTTTTATTCTTTCTACCTAATCTCATATTTTTATACTTTCTTCAATTTCGCAAAGAAAATAAATCCAGCAATTATTTTCATAATATTGAATTGTATTATTTATATTTATATTATAAAAAACATCAAACATTCAATTTTTTCTCAAATCGTAAACAACACACATGTGGTACACTACCGGTACATTATTTTTTTTAATGTTCCGCCATGTGGTACACTACGATTTTGTAGTGCTCCGACTGCGGAACACTACGATTTTGTAATGCTCCGACTGCGGAACACTACGTTTTTTAGTGCTCCGACTGCGGTACAGTACGATTATCGTTGTGCTCCGGTACAGTATCACTAAAATATTTTTAAGGGTTGTGTTCCGGTACGGTACACTATCGTAGTGTACCACTCCACCTCGGTATGGTACAGAACACTATGGTACTGTACCATTATGTTTATTTTCGAACGCTGATTTTTTGTTAATGCTTTGAATAAAAAAATATTATTATTATTTTGGGAGTTTTTCACATTGTTTTGATGGCGTTTTTTACTCTATTTATTATTTGGGCTATATAAAATAAGTTGTTTTGGCGCTAAAGTCCATACTATTAGAGCTAGGATCTTATCATGTTTTGTTTTTGGAAATTTATATTGAATAAACAAAGTATTAAAACTGTATTTTGTCTCTATGAGCTATACTAAAAGAAATATACAGGCATGTCACAAATTCCAGTCGGAATGGTTTCAAAACCGTAATTTAGAATCGATCGTTTTTTAACTTCTTCAGATGCCTATCGATTTGGTCAATTATGACAATTTTATTATTCAGTGTAAAGATGGCAATAATAGACGAATGAGAAGACGCTTAACAAACCATGTGATTAGAAAAAACTGTAGACTTGAAAATTGTCAAAAATATTCTGTTTAACAGCGTTACCATGTTAGAAGAATGCAGGTAGTCGCATCGACACTGCAGCTGAGACAATGAACTGTCAAACCGATTTTAGAATTGATAATGTTGAATGAAAAGTTATTGAAATTTGTAAAAATTGTTGAAAAATGTATAATATAACAACCTCCGTTTGCGTCATATAAGAAAACCTATAAAAGCTACTTATTTTTGGCAAAACGTTTTAAAATGCTTGACATATCAATGTTGCCAAGCGTTGATGCATCTACCTGTATTATTTTACCATGAGCGTTACCTAAAATTCGATGTAGCGTACACAAATTTTCGTACGTCTTTATTACCCAAATACGCCAGGTCCATAACTTTAAATATACCAAGTAAAACGTAAAAAATCATCATTTTCAAAACTCTCCCAGTTGATATATATTTTCCAATTACAAACATTTACATTTTTTATTAGTTGTTTCCATTCTTAACACACAAAAAAGGAAATTGTTCAGCTTTGAAATTTTGTACATCCGACTTATTTGGGTAACTTTCATATAAATACATGTGGTTTATTTGTGTGGCGAATAATGTCGGCTGATTACGTCGAATTTTAGGTAACGCTGTAAAAGAGCAGAACGTTAATTTTGTTTTGTTAATTTTTACCCAATGCCGGAATTTTTAATTGTTTTTGTAATTGAGGCGCAAAGTAATGAACATAATACTGAACAAATATGTCGGAGGAATTTAAGAGATGCTTCATACCCCTTGTCCTACCCCGGTGCAGGGTGATCATTTTAATAACAAGTTTAATCTTCTTTCTTTTTATACCCTCCACCATACTATGAAGGGTATATTAATTTTGTCATTCCGTTTGTAACTCCTCGAAATACTCATGTCAGACCCAACAAAGTATATATATTCTTGATCAGCGTAAAATTCTAAGATGATTTAGCAATATCCGTCTGTCTGTCTGTCAGTCTGTCTGCTATCTTTCGAACAAATTGGGACAGAGGGCTAAAATTTTGCACACATGTATATTTTGCCAGTAGGCAGGTTTAGTTCGTAAATGGGGCATGTAGGTCCAAGTTATCATATAACCCCCATATAACGGTATTTCCCGATATTCGGTATTTTGATGATTTTAGCGACATTGTTTACCGGAATCGTTTCAAATTTGGTATTTGAAATTCATAATGGATACCACATCCTAAATCAAAAAATGTATATTTTGCCAGTAGGCAGGTTTAGTTCGTAAATGTGGCATGTAGGTCCACGTCTTCGTATAGCCCCCATATAACGGTACCCCCCCATATTCGGTATTTTGATGATTTTAGCTACATTATAAACAGATTTTTCTTCAAGTTTCGCATTTTAATATTTTAATAACTTATGACAAAAGTTGTCTATGCAGGTTCACGTCGTCGTATAAGCATTCGGTATTTTTAAGATTTTATCATAATTTTTAACGATTTTTTTTTTGGTAATTGCCAAATTTTTACCAAATGGTGGAGGGTATTAAAAGTTCGGCCCGGCCGAACTTACAGCTTTTTTACTTGTTATATCTATAAAAGAGTAAAATGTTTGTAGTTTATGGACTCGAAACCCGCTGCACAGATTTTCCTGAAAATTTCCATCGCCTGAAAGTAATTTGGAAATGCAAAACGGAATTTGGAACAAAAATAAATTTGCCAAATTATATTGAAATCGGCTCAAATTTGGATATAGCTCCCATATATATTTTCGACCGATTTCGTTTATTTGATGCACCAAACACGCTGTGTACCCCACATTTCAATGAAATTTGGAAAGTGTGATGGAATGTGTCAAAAAAATGTGTTTGCTAAATTATATTGAAATCGGTTCAGATTTGTATATAGATTCCTTATATATTTTCAACCGATTTCGTTTATTTGATGCACCAAACACGATATATATGTTCGATTCCAATAAAATTTGGAAAAAGTGATTAAATTTTGTAAACAAATAAATTTGCCAAATTATATTGAACGGTTCAGATTTGGATATAGTACCCATATACATATTCGGCCGATTTCATGTATTTAATGCACCAAACACGCTATGTATCTTTAATTTCAATGAAATTTGGAATATGTAACGGAATTTATAACGAATATACATTTTCCAAATTATATTGAAATCGGTTCAAATTTGGATATAGCCTCCATATATATATTTTCGACCGATTTCGTTTATTTGATGCACCAAACACGATGTATATGTTCTATTTTAATGAAATTTGGAATGAGTGACTGGATTTGATTAGAAAATAAATTTGTCAAATTATATTGAAATGGTTTATATTTGGATATAGCTCCCATATATATATTTCGGCAGATACCATGTATGTTATGCACCAAACACGATATGTATGTCCGATTGCAATGAATTTCAGAATGTGTGACAAAATTTGGTTACCATAATAAATTTGACAAATTAATTAGAAATTGGTTAAGATTTGGATATAGCTCCGATATATATTCTCGGTCGATTTCACATATTTGATGCGCTAAACACGGCATGTACCTCCAAATTCAATGAAATATAGGAAGTGTGACGGAATTCGGTGTAAAATCGGGTCATGTTGGGATATGATTTTATTAGAAATATTGACCCACAAAGACTTTGCAAAAAACTACACAACAATTTAATTGAGGATACGAATCTTACGGGGAAGTATGTTGCTACCTCGAATTCTTTAATAGCAATAGAAATGCCACTCAACTTCAAAAGATTGCAGTTTCATGCCCGCTTGGCATTTGCTATGAAATCAATAAATCCGAAGGACCGAAATCCGAATTCCTGCTTTTTTCATAGTCAGCTGTTCCTGGCATGTACACGCGTTGGTAGATCGAGCTATTTGTTTGTTTTCGCATTAAAGTATTTTAAAAAGTTTTTTTTGTCTTTTTATTTAAACCAACAAATATTTGTATATGAAATTTTGAATGCATATGAAATCCAAAGGGGTAGCGAAGCGCACCGGGTTTAGCTAGTTTAATATAAAGTGAATGTATTCGTATATAGATATATTTTAAGTCGATTTTGTGATGTCCTTCTGTCTGTTATAATCAAGCTTTCTTTAAAACGAATTGAAATAAAACGCTAAAATTTTGCACAGTTAGTAAATGGATCATGTCGTCGTATAGCCCTCATATAATGGTACCTCCCAATATTCGCCGTTTTGATGATTTTAGATTCATTATAGGCCGGAGTTATTTCAAATTTTGTATTTGAAGTTCGTAATGGATGGATACTACAGCCTATAAAGAAAATTGTATATGCAGGTCCACGTCATCTTATAGCAACCATGTAACGATACCTTCCGATATCTTAGATGTATTTAAAGACATTATCCACCGGAATTGTTTCGAATTTCGTATTTGAAGTTCGTAATGGGTACAACAACCCATGTCAGAGAACTGTCTATGCAGGTCTATGTCTTTCTACAGTCCCCATTTAAAGTTTTCATTTAAACTGCATTTTTGGACGGATTATTTTTTACATTTTTCAAGTTCTTTCCAAATGGTGGACCAGGCCGAACTTAGCAGATTTTTTACTTGTTTTGAGCTGACGGGTTTTGGTTTATGTTAAGTTGTTTTAAAATAAAATTTTTAAAATATGCTGTTAGTGCAATGCATGCGATAAGGAACTCTGTATATTGTATTGTGGTATTCCGCAAAAGTGTAGCATAGAACCTTTGGGAAAGTATGAGTTTAAGATCTATAAAGCTTGTGTACGTATTTAATCTGACATGTCAGCTCGTTGGAGGGCAGGTTCTTGACTTTAACACGCTTATTCTATCTAAATAACAATTATTTTATTTCTGGAATATTATTACACCCTCCACCAAGGAAAATTCGTCGTAGACACCATAAAGTATATATATTCATGATCAGCATACAATTCTAAGTTGATGTTTAATACAGCCCACATTGTTTGACGTAGAGCTTTGAAATTTGGCACACATGTAATGTGTCTCGGAGAATAGCGGGGCTCCCTAGTGTAGTTGAGAGGGATTTGCTAAACAGGGAACTTCTTAATACAGTCCATATTCATGACATGACCTTCTCCTAAGATCTTTGGTGGCATGGTGCATAGGCATGTGTACAGTTGGTATCTATCTCTCTCTCTCTTTTACAGTTATTGCTAAGTAAGGTTAAGTTATATGATCATAACTAGTTCTTAAGAAATAGTTTTAATAAATATATTTAGTGTCTTACAAAGGCTCATCAAAGATAGATGTGGTGTCTATGAAATTACTGATCCCGGTTTACATTGGTTATTCGAGACGGATCAATGTTAAAGAATTATCCTTAAAGTCGAGGAAATTCTGTTAGCTAGGCTAAAATTTGTCTTCAAGAGTGGAAAGTTACCGAACTACAAACATAGCTGGATTTGTTCCCATACAGAGGAAATTTATAAATTTACTAGCTGGCCGGTCCGCGTTGCCGGCCCGTAATTTTAGCCTTTAATGCTATTATATCATCCACCTTGGAAAGGAGGGTATATAAACTTTTCATT